CTCTGACGCTTCATATAAAGCGGTTTCTGTTCAGCATTGAGTCACTGTTCATTAGTGCATCACTTAGCTGAGCAAGAACCCACTGGGGTATGCAAAATGCCTCCTGCAGCTACTCAAGTGCCTGTGAAGAGCTGTGCCTTGTTTAGCAAGTTCAAGATTTGTCAGAAGTTTTGCAGGCTGCAGTGGCTTTTAGGAATGGTCTGAAGGAGATAACTAGATCCAGCTCTGCTCTTGGAGAGCTACAGGGTTTCCATGCTGAAGTTCCCTTGCTCCTTGCTGATAAATGAATACAGTTATCAACTGACTTATCTATAAGTTACCAAAAAAAATAATCAAAGCTATTGTCAGTACCTTCCTAGATGCTGTTGCAGGTACTGTCATGCTGCTGGGGCACATCATTAAAACAAACTCTTCCCTTCTGTACTGCACCATCCCTAGAACAATCACGCTGGTACTTGTAAAAGCTCCAAAAAAGAGGCACATCTGCTTCACGGGTTGGGTGGGCCTAAGCCTTTCTTAGTTACTAGAATTACACATTTCAACCCACAACATGCAAACAGACTCCAATGAATGGGAAAAGGGGTCTGGAGAGGGGCTTAGGTTTGATCTGGGTGCAGCAGTGGTGTAGTTTGAAGCACAAGCTAAAGCATTCCAGCTGCAAGTCAAACCCAGGAATGCATCATGGGAGATCTGATTTTTCTGCAGGGCTGGTAACATGAGCATTCAAATCATTCACTGCCTTTGAAGCCTGTGAAATCCATAATGGCCACAAAGTGAACATGTAACAACTACATTTCAATTACTAAAGGCTGGTCAAGTACCTGGTTTTATTCTCTCCAGTAACAAAACTCCCATCGACTTCAAAGGGGTTGGGATTCACTCTGCAGTGCGAGTGCTGGGTCCAATGAAATAGGAGATGCAACTCTGGGATGAGGTATTTCAGCTTCTGAAGGTGCAGACAGAAGGGCAGAATCGAGCTCTGATGTTGAGGGCAGCTATCCGGTCTGCATGTTTTCTGCAGCTTCAGGTTAATAAATTGAGGGTGATGCCTTGATTAACAATCTGCCCCAGAACTACATGGGTACTTTTGGAAAATATGCAGGTTCCTACCAACTACAGTAGGAGTTACGTATCCAGCCTGCTTCGCTGCTGTTAGAAATCCCACTGCATACCTGTGTGTCTCTTCTGCACTTAAATCCCTTTGAAATTCTTGCTTTGGCCATTGCTTACAGAGGTGGAGGCTCTGAGGGTAATGGATATTTCTTTTGCAAAGTGCTTCACAAACTATTTCATGATTCCAGTGTAAAAGTACCAAAGTTCATTTCTCTCAGGCTCACATCCATAGACTTTATTTTGCCATGTTCCATGCATAGATGCTCAGGATAAATTACCTTCAATACCTTGTAGCAAACCTTGTGCCCTGTGGTGTGTGTTTCCTAGCACTGGGATCTGTTTGCTTGCCCTCCTTTTCCAGGAGGGAGGAGATGGAGGCTTGAGCAGCACCTGGCTGCCCGATGGCCACCTTCAGCTCCCCCTTAAAAGGGTTTGTGACCACAACAGGGACTTGATGTCCTGCTGCTCAGCACCCTTCTAAAGCCAGTCCTGGCTTTGTAAAGCACTTTCCCATGCTTTTGGGTGAGTGAGCCATAAATACCAAACAGAAGTTGGACCTGAGTCACTGGATTTTGAGCTATGCACACGAAAGCTTTGAGAAATGTTATATTAGTCAAAACGTCAACTGTTTTTACAGTGTTTGTGATATTGTGAACATTTTTGTTCATGAATGTACTTGTTTGCCTAAAGTGAATAACTGATGCTGTGTGCCTAAAGAATGCTGCACATGCCTTTTTATGAAGGAAATGTTGCCAGTTTGAAGAGCTTGCCTTGCAATGAATTCATAGATTTGGAAAGGCCAAAGAGAATATTTGATCATTTAGCCTGGTTTCCTACAAACACCTGTCATAATATCTTCAGTCTGACAGAGATACAATTTCTATTAGCCTGAGTGGCATCTCATCTGCTACAAAGGGCAGGACTGGGCTCTCATTTTTCCTGCCAGGGTTGTTATGTGTCTGTCTGCCCACAACTGAGGTGGATGAGAGAGAGCTTCTGCCCTCTGTCCAAATGTTGGTACTGTTGAGGGAAAGGATTTCAGAAATAGTCAGCTGGGAGTGCAGCTGTTAGTCTGGAAAGACCTATGCCTGTATTTTACCCCGACAACAAAGTGCAGGCAAGAGATGTTGATGGTCAGATACCAACCTGTCTGAACTCGTAAAGTCATTAACTATTGAACTGCTCATACCAATGGTTTATTTGAACCAAGGGCACCATCACACCTCAAACTAGAGGCTCATCTGTGGTTTAACTGAAAATCCAGCCTTCAGCATGTCCCTTGGTCTCTTCGCACTCAAAGGAAACTATCCCTAGTCAGCCTCAGCCTGGGCTTTCCACCTGCACCCTGTGCTGTTCTGTGGCTCTAGAAGGTGTCCTGCTCTCAGCTGTGTGTGACACGATGCTGAGCTGCCCCTGGGGAGCCTGGCAGGAGCTGCTGTGCCTTGGGTCACTGCAACAGGAGCAGCACAGGCTTGGAGAATCCCACGTTTCAAATCTCAAAGGGCATTTTCAGCAATCTCCTGGGGGAATCCCACTGCTCTTGTGTTATCATAAGCGCACAGAGAGGGGGGAACCTTTTTGGTTTCCTGCTGGCCATTGTACCTGTGGAGCTCCAGGGAGAGGGATCCACAAAGCCAAAGGCGAGCAAACGTTTCCCTGCCTGCGTGGGGGAGAGGGTTTGGCTTTGTTTTGCTCTTGTTGCTAACAACGTCAGATGGGTCTGACTTTCCAGCCGGCTCGGGATGAGACAAACAGCCAAGGAAGCATCAAAGTGAATGGGTGTTTTTTGATCAACACTGGAGAGAGTTTGTTTTCTTTCTCCACTTGCCCAATGACACACTGACTTGGATGACTGGTCTGTGACAGAGCCGGGTGGAAAATGTCAGTGGAAAAATGCAGAAAAAGAGCAAATATTTTTACAAATGTTAGTGACAATATTTTTACCTTTGGTCAATCCAAACCAACAGGAATATTTTTTCAGGACATACTGTTCAAAACTCGCCATAGCCTGTGCCAAAATGTATGCAAAAAGGGAATATGCACGAACGCTCATTAAAAATAGTGTTCCTGTGGTGAATATGATGCAGTAAAATTGCATCTCATCTTGTGGCTGGAACATCTGTATAATTAGCAAGATTCCTCACCTCTTCCAGCCAGTGGTTCATGTATATGCCTGCACTTTGCATACATTTTTTTTGTCCCTTAGGAATAAGAATTTGTGGAGGAGACAGTTTGCAGAAACACTTTCTGCTCCACACAACTATCCTCAGTGGTACCTTGCCACTCTCTCTAAACAGAGTTGTAACCAACCTGTGGATGTACCATTGTAAAATGAAGGCACTAAATATCATTCTGACTCTGTCAGTAAGATTCCTAGTGGGCACCTACCTCACTCATCAGAATCTGAGGGAGAACTTCCTGGGCATCTGATGAGGAAGGTCATTTACTCCAACAACAGGTTTCTGGCATTCCCTAATACCCTGACACACTGGTTAGTGCCTCCTCCTCTGCCAACACATGTATTGTTTCTGCTGTTCCCAAGAATGAAAAGTTATTCCTGCAGGCTTGTACCTAAATAACCTATTTAAGAAATACAGCATAGCGAGGCTTCTACTTCTGGAAGGGCTTAAAAGAAAAAGAGAATAAACTGAAATGCTTATGGTAAGCAGGACATCTAATGGGTCCTGTGCACAGTTGTGGCTTGTTGCCTTCTCCTTTAAGGAAAACCTGGTTAAAATATATAGTTCGAATTATGGCTGTTTGATAAAAACAGAATCATTTTAGCACAGACCCCAAACCCTGCGAATAATTGTGTCGTTAGAAATGCCAGGAGAACTGTGAGTTTTAAGCTATAAAACTAGAATTTCAGATGTGGAAGAAAACATACCAGTGGTTAAATATTTTTACCATACAGCAAAACCAGCAGAAATCCTCACCATTTAAAAAAACATTGATAAAGTTTCCTGTCATGTTTCATTTTTTTCCCGCATTTTTATTAGTGCTTATAAAACCATAAAGCCAGAGTCCTGATTCCACTTTTTTCTTATCCTTTTGGGCTTTCCCCTTTTCATAAACCTAAATTAGGACTGTAGTATTATTATCCCATATTTAGTAGTCCTAAAGAATAACTTCTGACTAGAATGTGACTGTAAATACTTTTCATGTAAATAAATGCAATCTCAGTTTTGGTAGGATTTGTATGTAAAAGAAATATGTGCAAATGAAACTAAGTGCCTTGGATAGATGGTTTGGGATTGCTGATTAATTGGAACTAAAAACAGATGAGAAAATTGAACATATGTTCTTATTCAAGTTCCCGGGAGGATTTGTCAGGGAGCTTGGCATACATTAATAATTGCTTGGAATGGATTTAATAGCTCATCTTGTAGTTTTGCACATGCAAAACAATCAGTCAGTATAAAAAGCATGGTGTCATCTGTCTTTGTTAATTAGGGATCTCGAATGCCTTTGATAATAAAGGCTAGCAATTAAGCTACAATTCCAGAGGAAGCATTTGGTTTTGTCACTTCAGGATCCATAAGCAGCAGGCGGAAGCGGGGAGGACTTCCAGGAATCTTGAAATACTTTGAGTTTATGACGTTTTCCCGCACTAGCACATGGCCAGGCTTGTTGGCTCCTCAGCTACTGAGTGCTCACAGGGGTGAGAGTGCTGGGGATGCTCCCTGGGGCATGTGGAGGCTCACAGGGACCTCTCCCCATGTCACTCCACGTGGCAGCTGCGTGCTGAGATTTCACTGTACGAACCTGATGCCAAACCCAGGCGCTTTTGCTGATGGCACTAGTATTTCTAACAATATAAGCCATAACTCCCCGAAGGAACACACTGTGCTTGTGCTCTCATCAGGTTTTCCCTGTGGGTCACTCACCTTCCCGGGTGCTCCTGGAGGACCTGGTAGACGCTAATCTGGAAGGTTTCGTTGTCGAAGCGTTCGCGGATGTAATCCTTGTATATCCGGAACTCAGCAGCCGTCACCGCTTCCCCCTCTGGGATTCTGGAGAGATCAAACCTGAACTCTCGGTAGTGGCAGCGCTGATGGTGAAACTCTCTGTCATGCTCCACTGAAACAGAAAACAGCCCATTAGCCACCTGCTTTGTTCCCTTTCCCCTCGCCATCAAACACGCTTGAGAGTTGCCACAACAGAAAAGGGCAAGAATATCTGATTGCAGCATCTCACGCTGTCACTCGGTTCATTAAAGCACGTAGGAAATACATGACTTTATCTGGGCTATTATAAGCATATATGTGTTTATCAGAATCCCTTTGAAACAGTTTTACAGCTGGCTGGTACAGGGTGTGGGGGACTGTTGTGTTTTAATGATTTTTGGCAGCTTTGTGCTTGACAAGTGACTCTGGACATTTGCCACCAATAACAACCAAGCTGCTGTGGGAAGGAGCTGAAAGAAACAGATGGGGCTTTTCAGGAGTGCAGGTTCTTGGCCTGGCTCTGCTTCTGAAAATTACACAGGCATACACACATACCCACACACATATATACACAGATTCCAGTCCTCGAGGCTTTTCATGCCAGCGACCCACATTCGGTGCCAGCTGAATTCATCACAAACTCGCGGCTCCGCTCCGAAGGGTCAAAGCTTTCATGTTAAAGGATCTTTAGTGCTTAGGGTTGTGAGGCAAATGTTCAAAGTAAGGACCTTCTTTCACCTCCCAACCCTGACTGTGAAATAACAAGGAGTGCCAGAATCTTCCCAGGACAGTGTGGGGATGGTGTGTTATCCCTTCGAGTGACAGGCCTGCCTGTCCCCTGACGGACAGCTGATGGTCTCGTGCTTGTGGATACGGAAGCGGGGGGTCAGTGCTGGGAGGAAACAAAGACTTCAAGACAGTCCTCCAGCAAGGGGGAGGCGAGGTGTCAGTGCCCCAGCCCGACACATGACGCAAATCACCCTTCTTGGGACAAATTCCAAATTAAATAGACAAGTCGGACAAAGGAAAAGGGGGAAACGGAGGTATAAGGGAATGAACTGACTCGCCCAAGGTCACACTGCATGACATTTTAAGAGCTGAGGTTTGAACCAGAGACTTCCTATATGTCCCAGTCCTGTCGTCTGTCCACTTGACCTCTCTGCAGCTTGACTGCACAATTCAAGTAGTTAGCTCTGAGATTTCCTTGGCAAAGAATGCTTGTCTTTCTACAGGCCTGATTCTCTTCTGGCAGCAGTAAATCCATTGTGTAAATCCATTGACTTAAAGGGAATTACTCCTGAAAAAAAGGAATTTCAAGCAAGAGTCTGGAAAGTGTTATTTAAATTTACAGTGCTGCACGGTACAAATGTACATCAGCACCTCGTGGGGTTCTCCCCTGTGTCAGGGACAGAGTGTGGGGAGGCTCTGGGAACCAGGCTGTGTCCAAGCATGGAGCAGGTTCAGCACTGCTTTGCTAGCCAAGATTCAGCTGCTGGCCATGGACTCTTCCTCCTCTCTCACATCCCTTCTGTGAGGAGTCCAGGGCTCACAGTTTGCCACTGTGTGATTGCTGTTCAGGGAAATACTTCAGAGCTCTTACTCATAGCTGGGATTCATCTTAGAGAGTTTTTTAGGTATGAAACCTCTACACTTTCCAAGACAAAGGTGATTAAGTTCAGCAAATGGTTTTGTAGGTTGGGCAGTTACACCTCTAGCTAAAACATCTCATAAGCCTCACGGAGATCGTTCAGTGTCTCATACCCTGACGTGGGAGAATATTGTGAATATTCACCAGTGTCTGTAAAACATTTGGCAGGCTAAAACTGCCCTGGAAGTGCTAGCAAAACTATTAAATTTACCTCAATCCCTTTCCTCCAAACTACTCCTAACAGAATAAGATACTAAGAGTGTGATTTCAGTCTCAAAGGAATTTGTCTGCACCTAAATTATAGGGGGGAGGGAAAAACACTCTAATATAAAATAGCTCCTTTAACCACAGCTACAGAAGAATGACTATAATGCTGTGTGGTTTTAGTTGTATTACAGATAACACCACAGGCAGGGTGTTAGCAGTAGGATGTACCAATATGATTTGCTTCCAAAGACGTGGGAAGGCTAAATTTCCAAAGGTGGGTGTACCTTTTCAGTGTATATGTGTGATGACAACTACATCAGCCAACACTGGTCTTTAGCTGCACTTTCTACACAAGGTCTGACAACAAGCACACGAAGATGAAACTTTTTGGGGTGCTGCTAGAGTTCACAGTGATTTCCTCTGCAGAGCCCTAGAAAAAATGTGTCATATTAGTATGAAAAATTAACAGCCAGGGTCATAAAATAAAGAGCCTCCAAGTTTGAACTTTCCCATACTTTGCAGATGTTAGGATATAGGGTTTTGGCCTGAGCCATCTTTAGTGTTAAAGCAAACATTCCTGTGGCTATAGTCATTAAGATCATGAAAATATGTGGATATGTAACTGAAGAAAGAATCCCAAGAAACCCTTCAACTCAGTGTTTATTGTTTTTCCCCTTTTTCTTTGCACTCTGGACCTATCTGCTGACCCAGAAGTAACAAATCCTTTCAGAACTAATTTATGAGAAACACTGACCCTGAATCAACATCTGTTAGATGACTGCAGTAAATCTTATTACATAATTAAACACCAAAATCTATGTTAAAATAACGTTAAGGGTCTGACTTGAACTCATAAAAGCAAGACTCTTCATTATGAAGGCTGAAATCCTATCCCTAAGTCGTACTGCTGTGTGTTGGTATTTGGGAACATATGGTACAGTATATAGGATCGAGCACTTTTTGTAGACCCCAGTAATACCTTCAGCACAACAGCACGGGGTAAGCAGAGGAGCGCTCAAGGAGCCTGAGTTTCCTGGGTTTGATGGGTGTTAGACCTTTGACAATACTGCAACTGGGTCATTTCCAGTTAATTACCTGAGGAGTTTGAAGGGGGAGAGTGAAGGGTAGTGTTAAGGAAAAAAAAAGGGATGGGGGAAGTGGCATTTTAAGCGTTCAGTGAAACAGTTGAGAGAATTGCAGCGGCTCTTTGAATGTGACTGTAGTTTCTCCAGTAGATCTATAAAATCCATGATGCCCATTGACACAACATACCATAAGAATGTTTTGATCATTCTTGAAGGACTTAGTCCCAGCTGTTTGTCAGCCATTACATGTTATATGCTCCCTTAAAAGTCACCAAGCAATATGAATATTTGCTGGATTCGATTCAGAGCCCTTTTGCCCACAGAACCTGAACTCATGTTTGTTCCAGGTCCACAGTTCTTACAAATCACTACTACCCAAAGGCTTTGGTGAATGGTTTTAGCCCAGATCCTAATTGCAAACATTGGAAATTCCAGCTCACAATTCAAATGCCTTGGCAAGGCAGCTGCTTGGAGAGGAAGCCAAAGCTCTGGATGTGCAATCAAAGGTTGTAAAATAGGAAAAGGAAGAACACCCTTGAAAAATAATTTTGCTGTCAGGCTGTGTGCCTTAGCTGTGGGAAAACAGCAGACTTCCTCTCCTTAAAAAACAATCCAAAGTCACTCACAGGTGGGGCATGTGTAAATGTGTGCCTCTCCTCATTCTTGGAAGTAGTATCACATTTTGGAGGCACAAACACTGCTAAAAAATTCTGACCTAATTTAACACATGGCTCAAAATTTGCAGAATAACTGGGCATGGTGAGTGTGGCAGTTAATTGGAGCTACAGTGGATGAGGATCATCAGACACTCCCTCTGGCACAGTCCTTTGGGAAAGGAAAGGTTGGGATGGAGTTGTGAGCTGTGGGATGGAGACGGACAACAGATTCACAAGAAAATAAGCAAGACACCAAAATGTACAGGACAATTAAGGTGATCCAGCCAAAACAAGCAATATCTCAAGTTAGTGGTTATCAGCAACTTCACCACACCTGTCTCAAATATGCAAGTAAGATCAGCATCTTTGAAAGTTTGGCCTTGCCTATCTGTGCAGGATCTGAATGCTGCACAGGCTGCACTATCTGATAGAGATAGGGCTCTGAGCTCTCTGAAGTCTTTTGTCTCTCCAAACTGACTCTGTTGTGGCCTGATGGTGACGCAAGAGGAGACAGGACTGGCATAGTTTTGTAACGACAGGGATGGTCAAAAGAAAACAGGATGGATACATATGCTCAGGTGTGAAGTAGCCGGGTATCAGATCAAAAAATATGGGAAAGATGGAGATAAAATGTCAACAAATACTGGGTACTTGTTTTGACGTGTCCTGAAGTGTACTTTTCAGATATAGAACTTGGAAACATCAAGATGCAGGGATGAAAAGGTGTAGCTGTTGATGTCAAGAACTCGGAGCAATATGGTTGAAACAAGTACTAAAAAAGTAATGTTGGACAGAAAAGCTTGTGGTCCTGACTGAACACCCCAGGGTACCCAAACTTCTAAAGCAAATGACACACCAGCATAAAACTTAAACTTAGGCTGATCCCATGTTTAGCTATTTTCACAGCAAAATATGTTGAGACTAGAAATAAGCACCCCAACTGTTTTCAGCTTCTTTGTAAATCACTGCTGGTAAGTGAAAAGCTGACCTGAGCTAATTCTGTAAACACTGGTTGGACCTCTGGGTTTGTAATATGGATTGATGGCAGGCAAGGCATGACATGTGACAACCGAGATTATGCTGAGACATAGCTTGCAGTATTATTATTTCCCTCGACACATCCTGGTTCAGCCCTTGTACCCAGCACAGTAGCACCAGCTCCGTGTGTCCAGCAAAGAACCAGTGAATCACAGCAGTATTTTTCCAAGAATTAACTGTGTTAAAAAACAATTATTATGAAAGCTTAAGAGCTAATCCAAACTCCAGGGGAGTCAAAAAAATAATTTCTACTAATTTCAATGGATTACGTGGGAGGCCAATTACCTACCCAGGTATTTTTTACGCTCTTGTTTTCTGAAGATGCAAAACTTCTTTTTCACAAAGAAAGTCAACACCAGATGAATAGATTCTGTGCTCAGGCTGCCAAACTGGGAAAGCTTTGGTAATTCCATACTTCATCTTCCCTGGTACATTTGAGTGATGCACTTGGAATATATTCTGAATATATAAACAAGTAAAAACATACATTTTCTTGTTA